AGTCGGTTAGCTCTAATGGTATCAGTTATAACACGCCAGCAACTCCGACGATCAAGAGAGTCAGAAAATGCTTTTTGCTCGCTTACCGCCTCTTGAGCTGGAAAACCATTGGTTGGAGTAGTGGTGTCAGGAGATTGCTTCATCTGCAGATGGTGCATCATAGCCTGCAACCGCTGTCGCTCTTTGTTCAACTGAGTCTCCAACTGATCGACTACCTGAAAAACATTCACAAGTCATATTCGTAATTAAAAATAAAACTATTAAAATTACCAAAAGAAAACAACAACAACAAAAGACTGACCTTCCTTCGTAATTAAGGGGAATCACCACTGCCCTAGTCTCGATGCCCATGCTAGTGTCTCGAACTGTAGCAACCAATTTCCATCTAACTTTTTTCACGCCCGATATCAGCTGAGGTTTTCCAATAAAGCGTCTTGCATCCCACTGCTGAAGTCAAGCGGTCAACCGTCAGCCATGAAATGAAGTCGAAGCTATGCCCTGGAGACTGGGAGCACTATTGTTTGAGCATTCCATTCCCTTAGATTTTGGCAAACGGCTTTGATTACTGTCTACGTTTGCCATACATCCAACGTCAGAACCGAACAGAACGTCCGTCAGCCATTTACTCCGGCCATACGGAGTTCCAGATAACGGTACTGCCAAGCCTAGCTCGTTCGAGCTGTCCTCGCTGAGCTCGGGCACAGTCAACTGTGTACATGGAACGGTGCCTCATCAGACCAAAGAAAGCAAGTCGAAAAATTAATCAACGAATTTAAAAATGTGCATTCAATTCACAGTGGCTATTTTTTGACTGTCAAGAACAGCAGTGAGACACATTACCATAAGTAATAAGATATCGTTATAGCCAGCAAAGTCAAAAACAACCCTTAGTATGAAAGTGGTTTTATAACAGCACACAAATGCAAATATATATGGTTGCAAGACCGGGATCTTAATTAAAAAATGTCCAAGAATGCAAAGAGAGCAACAGCGGATCGTGGGAGTAAGGATACTCGGAATTTGGACTGGGGAAAAGAAAACGGGTGGTTTGCAACGAGCAGTTATGTTGTCCGCCTCCACCAAAGTCCTATGAGAGGCGCCGATTCTGACACCCTTCTTTCAATGGCGCTTATGGTTGGCGGCATTGATGTCTTTTTTATGCGATCATTCAAGAGTGCCTTCCTTTCAAAGTAATGTAAGTACTACACTTCCTTGCGCGCATAGCGCGTGGCTTCCTATTTTCTGTCCCACAAGGTAGCCTCGGAAGAACAAAAGGCGAATGACTTAAAAGGAACTCGAATCCAGCCGCAATCGACTCCCTCAAGAGCAATCCCCGTCTAACTTTGGCAGTCACTGACTACGGAGAGACTGTAGAACGAAAAGATAACAAGAAGCCGAAGAATAAACGACGTTGTAACAATACCTTTTCATGATTGATCTTCTGCCTCGTCGCTACTTCTCAGTTTCGAAAACCTGTTCAGAACCAGCTACAGCATACGAATATGTAAACCGCAGATTTTTGAGGTCGAATGATGGCTAAGTCGCTTAAATTTTCGCCGAGGATAAACGACTACTACGGTTATGTGGCAAAAGAACAATAACGTATGCGCTACCGTGAGCTACAGTATATAGAAGTTCATTTGCTTAAGCAAACAGAACCTCTATTAGGAGGCAGCGGTATTGCCATAAAAAATTACATTTGCTAGCACTGAAACCTTAACTCCCAGAAAGTGGCGATCAGAAGCTTTACATATTTCTATTCCTTCGGGGGTTGATAAATGTACTAAAAACATACATAGCCCTTAAAGAAAAGGCACTTACACTGATGTACAGTAATGAGGATTAGCACTCTGCGATAAAGTGAATGAAACACATTTTTGCAATATATATGGGAATATAAAGCATAATAATGATGCTCTAACGAACAACATACGGTGAGAAAAGAAGATTAAATGGAACAGAGCTGAAAGAAACAGAAAAGCAGAATCACATCAGCACCTGCATTTGAACCCGACACTGAGCAGTACTGCGATCGTCCAACGTGTGCGCCGAGTTCAGGTGCTGGATGAAGGCCAGGTAGTTGCTGCACGGCTTCTCGCACGATGGCCACAGACACACACCGTGTTGAAACAACGGATGAAGTAACGGCTGCTGCTGCTGGGATGCCGCTGCCGCGGATAACGATAGGTCTGGAATACCGTTCAGCAAGCGCTGACCAACCACCGTGTCTGACGAATCGAAAAGGCCATTCAGACACGTCACCGCCTTCAACTCTTGTGGCGACAGCGAAGCGCCCATCGTCAGGTCATGCCACAGTTTTTGAAGATCACTCGGCGAAACACCTACACTCACAGACATTTAGTAAAGAGAAGCGATTGCCAAATGCTGCCAAATTTCGTACCCGTACTAAGACTCTGCTGCATGAGATAGTGTCGCTGCTGCATTTGGATCTGCTGCACTAGCTGATGCTGTTCGACGCTGAGCTGGTGGATCTGTAACTGAAGCTGAAATGAAAAAAGGTATCATATAGCAAACCAACGCAAAACAACATAGGTAA